GAGCTCACTTTGTAGCCCAAGCTGGGCTTAAACTCACAACAATCCTCTAACCTCAGCCTCCCAAGTTCTGGGATTACAGGTGTGTGCCACCACACCTGCCCCTAATCAGCCCTATTTTTAAAAATTTAGTTGATACATAATAATGATGCATATTTTTGGGATACCATTTGATAATTTGATGACCGCTCCATTAGCCCTATTTTTAAACAGCAACGAGAGTCACTTATTTGAACTATCCTGCACTGTCAAAATGGGAAATACTTTTCTATCAATGAAATGGATTTTTTAGTGGATTATTTACACTGCCTAGAGTGACTTGGAGTCTGGAAAACATGTAAGCATGAAAAAAGTTTACCTGGGAGAGGTGTTTGGAAAGGTTGCCCAAAACAGGAGCACAAAAATGGGTCATGGAGTAATCAAAATGTAAGAAGAACAAGTCAGAGAAGACGTCTTCTCCTTTCAGAAGAAGGGAACTGAACCTGGAACCCCAGTATTCTATAGTAAGCTCTCTACCACTAAGCCCTTTATTGATTGATTGATTTTGAGATACAGTCTCACTAAATTGGCCATGAATTTGTGATGCTTCTGCCTCGGCATCCACATGAGCTGAGGTTACAGGCAATAAATAGCACCAGGAAACAAACAGCACCATATACTGAGGTGCTGGGCTCCATGTCTGTTTCTTGGATTTCTCCCCAAATTGCATTCACCTACACTAATGTACAGAAGCAGCGCTTCCTCGTTTGTCACCTACAGCAGTAAAAGCAGGACCAGCAGAGGTAATTTTGTACCAGTCTTCATATGTATACTATCACACACCCGATACTGTGTGAGGTGTAGCACTACCTTGTTCTGAAAATCCACTTTACTCGTCCCACGTAACCTCCTGGCACAACACCTTTTTCAGGGTTCCTGTCACTGATCCCCTTTTTTATTAGTCCACTTGTGCAGTACCTAGTATTCACATTCCTGATGCAGAACCAGCCTGTGTGCCAACACATCTACATATCCAGCCCGAATTCCTTTTCACCCCATTTCCCTCCCTCTGCACTCCACCTCTTGATTCTCATCCCTTTTGCAAAAGACCTGTCTCCCTAATTCCTATTATCATTTATGTATTTTGCTCTATATTTATAATGTGTGTTTCTTATACATAAAAAAAACCCATGTACTAGTTAAGGTTGTGTCTCTGATTTGATTCAGCATACGGCCTCAAGGTGTACCTTTTCCCACAAAGTTTATCTTTCCTGTGGCAGTGTAAACTCCATTGTATAAATACTCCATTTTCTCTGTCCACTTGTCGGCTGGTAAACATACAGGCTGCTTCCAAGATTTAGTTAGCATGAATTGTGCTGCTATAAACATGAGGATGCATGGATCACTGCAGTGCAATGTCTTTGGCTCTTTTTGAAAGATCCCAAGAAGAGAAATATCTGGGCCAGTTTCAGTTTTTTAAGTAATCTCCATGCTGATTTCCACAGTTTTTGCACCAGAAGGGTTCTTCCCCCGACTCCGGCCTTGTCACTGTTTGTTATTGTTTGGTTTCTTGATGAAGACCTCATTCTGTCTGAGGTAAGATGGAACAGCAGTGTGGTCTAATTTGCATTTTTTTCTAATGGCCATTTCTAGACATTTATTGACCATTTTTGTTTCTGTGAGATGTCTATTCATTTCATTTACCTATTTTTTATTGGGTCTTTTACTTTGGGAGTTCTAATATTTTTTGAGTTCTTTATATATTCTAGATATTGACCTCTTGTCTGAGGAATTACTGGCACAAATGTTTCCCATTCTTTGTTTTTCTTTTTTACCCCCTGTCAGTTTTTTGCTTTTGCTGCACAGAAGCTTTTTAATTTGATATGATCCCATTTGCTGATTCTCAGGAAAATTTCCTGTGCAGTCGGTGTTGTTTAGAAAATCTTTGCTTATCCTTATGGCTTCAGGAATTTAATCTTCCAATAGGTTACTGTTTCTGTTTTGCTATTTAATCCATTTTTATTTTTTGTTTAGAAAGTGGTGAGATATATGGATTCTATTGTCCACATGTGCATAGCCAGTTTTCCCAAATTATTTATTAAAGATTTTATTTTTCATCTTAGATATGTTTTTGGCCCTTTTGTCAAAGATGAAATAGTTGAATGTTCTTAAAGTTGTTTCTATGTCCTGTATTCTGATCCATTGATCCTCTTGTCTGTGTGCTTGGTAGCGTGCTATTTTTATCACTGCCACTTTGTTACATAATTTCAAGTCCAGGATTGTGATGCTTCCTGCTTTTGCTATTCGGGGTCTCTTCTAGTTTAAGATTGTTTCCTCCTGTTCTTTGCATAATGCCATTGTTATTTTGATTGGAATTCCATTATCTGTATGTCAATTTTGGAAGTAAGGCTATCTTGAATATGTGGGTTCAACTTATCCAGGAACAGAGGATATATTTCCATTTTTTGATGTCTTCTTCCACTGCCTTTTTCGTAGCACTGTGGTTTTCATTGTAGACATCTTTCACTTTCTTAGTTATATTAACTCCTAAATAATTTTTTCTTGGTGCTATTGTGAATGGTACTTTTTTCCTAATATTTTTCTCTGTGAGTTTTTTTTCTGCAGAAATGCTGATGATCGTGTGTTCATTTTGTATCCTGACACATCATTGAATTCAATTATTAATTTTAAGTCTTTTGGTGGAATTTTTTGGAGTCTTATGTAAAGGGTCATGTTATCTACAAATAATAATAATTTGATGTCTTTTCTATACATATTTTACATTTTTTCTTGCCTAATTGCCCTTGCTAATGTTTGAAACATTATATTCAACAGGAATAGTGAAAGTAAACATCCTTGTTTCTGAATTTAGATGAAAAGCTTTCCATTTTTCCCATTTAATATGATGGCAGTAGTTTTGTCATAAATGGCTCTTATCAAATTGTCATAAGGCCTTTCTGTATCTATTTCTTTCAGTGTTATTATCACGAATGAACATCATATTTTGTCTGATACTTTTTCTGTACCTGTCTATCATGTGGAATAAGTTTTCCCTGGCTTCTGCCCACATGATATACTACACTTACTGATTCATGTATGTTGAGCCATCCTTGCATCTCCGGGATGAAGTCTACTTGGTCACGATGTATGATCCTTGTGACGCTTCACTGCATTCTGTTGGCCACTATCTTGAGGATTTTTGCATTTGAAGTCATTGAAGAGAAAGGCCTGCAACTTCCCTTTTTTGGTTGTATCTTTGTTTGAGTAGCTGTGGTCCCTCCTATTTTGATTACTAAATACATAATCTAAAACACTAAGTTGGAAACTGGACTTACATTGGATACAACTGTAGAGAACTACTCTGAAAACTTTTTACATAAACTCTTAAGGAGGTCAAATTTAGAAAAATCTCAGCTGCTATACTTGGATTCCATGAGCCACTCACCATTTATAAAATATTAATAAATGGCAGACAGATGTTTATTGCTTAACTAAAATGAGTGGGCAATGCTAATTTTTGTAAGACTTAGTGTCGTACCAGAGGACTTGTACACATATTGAAATATTGTAAAAACAAAACTACAAACATGTGACCCAGAATCTTCTCCTCCAAGCACCCATATATCCATCAGGTACAGAACTACTTTGATTTCACTGTATTAAACAGTAAATTCCATCAAACTCTATTCTTTTGAACTAAAATTTCTGTTTTGTAAGCCCACATTTTTCTAGGAAAGAGACTTGAGTCATTTTATGTATAAATATACAACATAACACAAACCCACACCCACACACATACTTAATTGTTGATCTCAAAGTCCGAAACCAAATTGTTTAACAAATACGGTTTTCACAATCAGAGATTTAAAAAACTGAATAGCCAAATGGTGAGTTGGTTTAGGTTCTTATGTCCCACTGAATCTGAGTAAGTAGTAACAATATTTACTCACTTCTGGGTATAGTAGTTTGGTTACCTGTTTGTATGATTTCGGAAACTGATAAGATGCTTAGAATAGAGATAATTTCCTGTTATTACAAGGGAAGTAAAATAGTTTTGCAGGACTATTAATCATAGACTAAAAATCATACCCCTTACTAAAATAAAGAAACAGGAAAATAATTTACTTAGTTTATATGTGTTCCTCAATTATATTCATCACCCATAACCATATCTATTAACATGAGTTCTTTTCCAGCTGTGATTTAATATCTGTTTAATTCTTGGAAGTTTGACATAATTATATTAGTGTTTTAAATGCTGTAGGCATATATGGCTTATTGCAGTCAACTGCTTTTTAAGGATGATGAAAAGGCTTTAAGTATGAGTAGTTAACTTAAAAATATGAAGTGGCAGCCATGTGACCAAAATCCAGGCCTGACTCCACGTTCTATAAGATACCAAGTTACTGAGACTGAAAAGCACACATAAAATCCCCAAGAGTGCTCACCGATATGGAGTCTGAGTCCTGACTCCAGCCTGGATCTTTTGACTCTTAACTTCCTTTCAGTCTGTCCATTTTTCACAGATTCCAGATGAGGATTTATTTATATTTTTCTGCCCTTTTCTAAGTCTGCCTCTGTCCAATAAATGTAAGCCTAATCCGTTACCTCCATTGTTGTTGGCAGTGATAAAAATGAAAACATTCTATTTCTACCAGTAAGTCTTTTCAGTCTTTCTGTCTTACAGCCATTTTGTTGTTCAGAAAACAGATTTGAACATCATCACTAAATTGGTGCTTTCTCTTTTGCTTTAAATCATCCTTATGTTTAAAAGCCAAATTGTTTTCCTCAATTGCCAGCATCATAGCTAATTGTGGTAGGTGGTTTTGTTAGCAGTATCATGTCCTCTAAACAAAGACTGTCAGTCAACAGTCAGTAACCCTGAGGCTGCGAAGGCTTAATGCAACTTAGACAGGGCTCTGATTGAACACAAATCTAATAAGGATTCTCACTGCCCTTCTACAGAGGTTATGAAAGTTAACCCTGCATCTAACTACCATTAAATAACTCACAAGACAAAAAAGTGAAATTTGCTTAAAAATGCATTTAAAAGCCTGGATTTTCTATTAGATATATGAAGCACGTCTGGACACCCAGCTGTGATGTGACTCCGTAGACACTCCAGATGCGGCCGCTCAGCATGAAGCAGGCTGTGAGTGGGTACAGTTCCAAGAGAGAACATAATGTGCGTGTGCAATAAGAGCAGCCGCAGCTCGACTCCACATTTGCACAGCGATGTGGAAAAGGCACCGGCTGCTGTCAGTTGCTGTAGGCATCTGCTAAAGACACACAAGATTCAGGCTCAGAAAATGCAAAATGCTCCCTAAAATATTCTGGCTTAATGTTGGGCACAAGGGGAATTGGCAGAGAACAGAGCATGTTGAAGTCTAACATCCTAATTGTACAGTGTGGTTGTTCTTGTAGGCAGAAAGGGAGCTGTTTATTTAGCAGTATTATTAGACATATATTTATGTCCTTTAGCTTAGTTTGTCAAATTCAGCCTATTTCTAATGGCACATACACTTGTCCTACCTTGATTTAACAAAGGTTTAAACTTTTAAAGCAGCTTTCATATATTTTTTAGACATGAAATGCAGCTCACAAAATAGACTTAATAGCAAATTAGTCAGAAACACATGGATGTGTTTTCTTTCAATTATATAGAGATTTTTCAGAATTATGATGTGGTAAGAATCTACTAGTGGTCATTAAGCCCTCTAAACCACTTGAAACATAATTAGAGACTTGCAAATCCTAGGTTGGCTTAATGGAAATTAGAACCAATTTTGTGGTTGCAATTTTGGCTTTGCCTGTGTATCTTTATAAACACTGCATTTAGTATACTTTTGAAATGGTAGCATTCTTCCTTCAAAGAAGACCGAGAGGTGTGAAGAGAGAGAAAAAAGATGTTCAGAAATCTAGGCAACAAATTCTTCCAGAATCTGCTTCTATGCTAACTTTGATTATTGCAATGCTACTGAACTGTAAGAAGATATGGACTAGCTTTCGTTCCGACCTCAGGGCCATTATACTGTCCAGAGTCACAAGAATGGAAGTAGTCTTACTTTGGTTTCCTCAGTTCAAGTGTGTGGCCACAACATTGATACGCAGGCAATAAGCTCATTAAAAGTAATATGCAGGAAATGCACAGTCACCAACACACAAAAGCATTCAGTGTTTACCTTTTGCTTTCATTTGTCACGTACACGTCTTTCCCAAATATGAGTTTTATGTTGATTTCTATGGGTTTTCACTCTGCATCTGGCCTGTTGTCTACTTTGTCTTTGTTTTGCTCGTTTGTTTGGTTTTGTTCATTGCTTAACTTAGAAAATAGAGTTGCTATTTTGGAGATAAAGTCCCAAAGCTCATTATGTTGTTTTGTTTGTTGGAAGATAGTATGTATCTTTCTCAACATTAAAACCCAACAAACCCAAAAAAGTAAGAGTTTGCTAATCAGAACTACAGGATATGCTTGAGAGACAAATAGTTGTGCCACTTCAGTTGCGTATGATTTGTCTCTTACTGCCCACTGGAAATTGGATGACAGTTTCACTTACCAAATAATACACTCTGGTGACACCGATATGGTTCATAAATGAGTATAAAGTGCTAGAAAACCTTATATTTTTGATCACATAGGTTTCAAATATTTGTTCAGCATTCATTTACTTAAGGAACCCTTTTTTCTTTTTAAGAAACCTGCACAGATTAACACCCTGAAGTCTTTGCTTTGAAAACCATTAGCTCCATAAACTTTAGCTGATTTTGTTATTAGCACCCTAATGCCTAAATCTCAGACTCAGCTATAACAGATCAAGAATGAAATCTGGATATTTCTAAACAGTATATTCTTGAAAACTGTCTCAACAAATTTCTAATAAGTAGAGAAATATTAGGTTGAATAAGGACATGAATTGCTCACCAAATCCTAAGATTCATCTCAAATTTTTTCCCTATAAGGACTGTATATGTATCATCAAAAACAGGATGATTTCAAAACATTCACAAGTGCCCATATGAAAATAATATGCTGTTGGATGCTGTAACATTAAACAGATCCACACAAAGATAAAAACAAATTTTGGAATATTTTTGCAGACATGAACACCATAAAAGAAGGTCTGTGACCTTAATTTTACCTTAACATTGTCTTCAGCATTTCATATTTAATTACAGTGGATTACTCACCAACATAATAAATATAGATTTATGGGATAATTTAATGAATTTAATGTTCTTAGAACAAATAAAAACCACCCAAGAGGAGCTCACCAAACCTGAGCTTGTCCAGATTGCATTGGCTGAGATTAAGTGGAAGATCGTCTATCTCCAGGGGCTGTGCAATTAATCTCAGAGTGGGAGTTGAGGTGATGACGAAGCAGAAAGTGAAGCCAGAATACAATCCTGTAACAGAACGAGCTGGAGCACCAGCGCCAAGGAACTGGTTATTTCCTTTTTTTAAAATAGCCCTATAATACTCACTCTTCCTACTAACCCTAACCCTAACCCTAACCCTAACCCTAAATCCTAAAATCTCATCTGTTCAACTATCTAGCATGATTATTTTTGATATGGTCAAACAGATTTTTAGAAAAGACTTTAAGAGAATATAGTGATAGTGTGTGTGTGTGTGTGTGTGTGTGTAATGTGTCTAAGAAGAAAAAAAAGATATTTCACTTTAGTTGTCACCAGAAAGTAGTTTAAAATGAATCTGTAGTAATTCAGCGTGTGGATAATGATAAATTTGAAGATATACTTTGAAGAAATATTCCACTCTAGGGTTTTATATATATATATATAAATAGTGTTACAAACTTCTTGAGAAATTATTTGGTCATCAATTCTTGTAGCTGAGTTATTACATTTTTGATAATCTTAATTCTTTTCTGTAGCAGCAAACTTTTGTTTCAAAGAGACACCACCTATTTTTCTCCCCCATGATACTGAGTCTGAAACCTCTCTTTCAAAGCTCCGAATTCCTCTGTTCTTCCTTAATGCTGGATCCTCCTTCTCACACTAAGGACAATTCTGGCCCAGGAGGCCAGTCTTTGGGTTTTCAGTGTGATGCACCATGGCTGATGGCCCATGAAAGTAACTGCTCTCATCACTGTTCCCACTGGGTATTTACTCACTCCTTGGAATTTAAAAGAATAATAAATAATCGAACAAATCATCAAAAACCATAACATGTTGCCCAATTCTTGGGACTAAGCCAATGAAAAGAAAATTTGCCTAAGTGTTGCAAATTTGAATTCCCAGTGTTTTAAGCTACCAAACCATACCCAGTGCTCATCCATGGCAGAGTGGTATCTCAGCAGCCTGAAAGAGCATGTTCAACTGGTTGCTGCCAATAGAGAGGTGGCTCCTCAGAACCAGCTTGCCACCCACACAAGCAGGCGCTGCGTGTTCGACCCTGAAAGATCAGAGCATCGCACACTATAAGGATGAGGATAGGGAGGCAAATGGGATCGGAACAGACTTGAGGCTGGCCCCAGATGATTCATAGCTGCAGTAAGTGACAATCATGGGTCCTTCAGTCCCTATTTGGACTGGTGGTAAAGAGTGGCTGTTGTACAATATATACTCTAAGAGCAGGAAGAGCAAATGGAAAACCTAAAATGGTGAAACCAGGATTGCAGTTTTAAGAGTCAGTTGAAAAGATTTGTGCTGACTTCCTTTTTATAACTTGAGTAGAAGAATTGAAAGACAAAAGGGAAGGGACTCATGAGAAGCCAATTTTTTTTTAACACATCTGTTTGTTTTTCCTCAAAAGTCAGTTGTAAATGCTATCCAGAGAAAGGAGTGAGAGAGAGCCAAATAGTGGGCTTGAAATTTTGTTTTTGTTGTTGGAGTTTTGTTTGTTCCAAAAAGAGAATGGAGTAGTGAATTGTATTACATTAGAATGGTAAAATAATTTTATCATATTACTATTAACTTAATAATTTGTGAGACACAGTCTTGCTTGGATTCATTGTGTGTTTTTATAAACAATGGATTACATATTATAGTTCACAGGGAAAACATTTTACGTTATTTGGGGTGGACAGCAACTAATAACATCATTCACAACTCGGGGTTCTTTAAATCTTATACACGTTCTTCTTAGCTACTGTAGTTATAACAAAAGGTCTATCTTTAACATGAATTGAAAATAAGGATAACAGTTATGGTTGAAGCAAACTAGCATTGGGTATCTCTTTAAATGTTTTCCTTAAATATATGGGCATGCCATGATGACACCTGCCCCTAATCCTAGCACTGGAGCAGCTGAGGCAAGGAGCGTCTCCAGGAGTCCAAGGCCAAACTGAACTACAGAGCTAGACCTCGTCTCCAAAATAAAATTTATATATATATATTCCCAAAATAATTGAGAATCTGATAAAGAAATATTGTCCGTGTTATAAATATGCTTAGTGATAAGTCAGAATGAACATATAAAATCAATTTCCAAAAACGTGCTGAAATGAGTCAACCTATGAATTTATTGCCTTATAGTAAACTCTTATAAATGAAATCAATAAAATATGTAGATATCAAAGACATATACTAGGCCTCTCCTAGGTTTTTCACATTATAATCCTAAAGCTTGGAAATATGGCCGAGCAAGGCGCATCTGCGTCTTTTCACATGTAACTTTCTTGATGATTTCTAAGAAGGCAGACTAAACATCCAGCTCTGACATAGTGCAGCGTCCCGTGTCGATTTCTCCTTAACTCAGAAGCCTTCACCCGCTGAAAAAAGGATCTGAAAAGGGCAAAACTTTCTAACCTCTGGCAGTTCTGATAGGAGACGCTGAAGCAGGGAGCCCCCAGAGTGGTGAAAACCCTGGGACAACCCCCCCCCACCCCCCACCCCACCCCCCGGTCCTGCTATCGCATCGGTGTGGCTGTGGAGGGAGGCATCATTTCATGCCTAAAGAATCTCCCTGTTTCCACATCCTTTCATTGGCTTGAAGCTGATCTTGCAGATGATATAGTCCAGATGAATTTCTGCTTAAGAAGAACTCTTGTTCATAAATTGACAAGAAAAAATATCCACCATATATAGAAAAATAAGGGAGTACCCAAGTGTGCTGAACTGCCTTGTTTACAATGTAGCTGACATTAAATGAGATTATTTGGATTAAGAGCAAATTGTGTTACTTATAAGATTTGGATTGAGAGTAGAGCTATAAACTTTTAATAAAAAATTAGAATGTGGTTTCTTTCTGATATTTGCTTACCTTTCATTTATTATTTTGTGCCTTCAATAAATTCATTTTCTCCAAATTTGCTGGAACAAAGGTTTCAGAAAATAAACTAAGATATTTCTATTCTAACAGTGTAGGCAAATTTTTATTCAAAACCAAGATGATCTTATTCTGTTTACCCCTAAGAATTTGAATAGTGAAATACTAGTCTACAAAACTGCTTTGGGAATATGGATATTGAAATATGGGAAAACCATTATAATATTAGGCTTATTATAATTTTCCACTGTAGTAAGTTATCAAAAAATTTTTTTGCACCAAAGAATCGAACTCTCAACCTTGCGCTTGCCAAGCAGCCACTGTACTGTTGAGCTATATCCCCTCCCCCCCGCAAAAAAAAAAAACTTTAGTATGTTAAACAAGCAGTTGTATTATCTCAGTTTTGCAGGTCAGAAGTTTGACACAGATTTTACTAGGATGAATCTGAGATGTCAGCAAGTCTGTACTCTCCTTTAATTATTCTTGAGAAGAATCTGTTTACTTGCCTTTCCCAGACTTTCTAGGCTACGCACAGTCCTTGGCCCGTGGCCTCTTCCTACATCATCAAAGGCAGAAATGGCAGTCTGAGTTCTTTCACATGGCAAGCCTCAGACCCTCTCTTCTGTTCCCTTGTTCCTCTGTTAAATACTCATGTAATTAAAGGGATCAATCTGGATAAGCTCGCATAATCTCACCATCTCGAGGTCAGCTAATTAGCAACTTTAATTCTGCCTCCAATTTTAAATCTCTTTTGTCATGTGAGAAACAGTCCATGATTCTCTGGAAATCTGAAGATCCTTTCATTTGCATAATAGTGTCTTAGTGGATGATGAGTGAAGAGTCATCAAGCCAAGGACAAATTAACTATCATAGCTCATTTTTGTGAAATGGATAGAGATGGTGATGATTTCCTCCATAAAAACTGACAGATTCCACTAAATCTGCCCAGCTCCTTCATTTTCTCTTCATTTTTCTACTCTGTTTTCCTTGATTCAAAAAGGAAACCCATACACTTAGTATAGAAAGATGTGAATAAATCTTTCACTCCTAACTCATGCATGGTTGTGCGATGCACATCAATGAGAAACATACCGAAAGCTAGAGATTGGAAACTGCATGAACAGCATCCGAGGCATCCCTGTCTCCACCACATCAGCTAGAGGGACACCCCGATACCATGCTTGACAAAGAAAGCATTTGGTGACCTACTTGATCACCAAAGATAGAGACTCTTACCATAAAGAAGCTGATAAAGCAGTTAGAATCATAAAGAAAAAGTAAAGCCTATAACATGATATGTGTTCATATAAAAACTTATCATTTTAAATAAAATTGTCAGTTTAAGCCTGTTGTGTCAGCACTCATTTTTCCTTGGAGACAATCATTCTATATATCTATTCTTTCATTTGATTTTTATGTATTATATGTAAATACTACATGCCAGGTGTATTTTAAAGGCTACATTCCAGGAACTTGGCATCAGTGATATAAATAACAAGTAACATGAATGTGAATGAGATTCATTTGGAAATTCATACATAATTTCTGGGGAGAGTTGGTGAGACATAAATAACAGCAGAATCGATGAATATTCTGGAGAAGGAGGGACTCCTGAAGGCCACATAGAATTTTACCAGCTACAGAGAAAATAAGGAATTTTTCATTAAGAAACTTTAGCTCCCAATGCAAGAAAGAAAATAAAGTGACCAAAAAACAATGTGACCAGTGATTTTTGTGCTAAAGCAAACCTAGCGAAAGGGCTAAAGCCCTGAAAAATGAGCTACAGTCAGATTGAGAAAAGGATTTTAGGTCTTGTTAAGAGCTTTGGAAAATAACACTGGGGAGATTTAAAAACGAGACCAACAGGAATAAGGAACCAGCCTGCTGCACCGTAAGAGTATCACATGACAGAAAGGTGGAAAATATAAGTATACGCATACACTGAATCAATTTTTGCAAAAATATATTCGAAAGATAAGAAACATGAATTAAATGAGAACAAGGGAGGAATGGCTGTCCAAGAAGTCAAAATGTTTTTAATTTTATTAAAGCAGGTGGATTTTTAGATTTCACCAAAAGTCTTAAAGTGATTAAATGCAACTGAGATAAAACCCTAGCAGATCAAATCTGATTTTTTGAAAGATGGTATATCTATTTGCTTGCTATTAATAGTTTCATTCAGATAATTATAATAATAGGAATTACTATTACATTAGATATTATTAAAATCTTAATCCTTTCTACTTTCTAGTTTTT